CTTCACATTGAACCAAAGTGTGTGAAAGACACAAAGTACGATTTTATTCTTAAGGAGTTTACAAGCTGCTTGGAATTCAGAAATATGCCCCCTAAAACAACCTGGAAAATATGAGAAAACAACTCAGTTAGAGGATGATTTGTGTGGTACAAACTGTAGGTGCTGTGAGACTAGGCAGTTGATGACTATTTCTGGGAGAAGATTGATAGGAAAGTAACATATATAACAATAGCTATAAACAAACAAACAAACAAACAAACAGACAGACTTTCCAATACTGGCTTAAGACTTTTTACAGATTTTGGCTTTGCCTTCCAAACTGTGGCTCTTACTAGCTAGTGAAGTTTTATTTTTGAGCTAAGATATATTGATAACTGCTCAGTCTTAACTGATTGCTGATACAATTGAGAATTAAGTTATTTGAATAGCTTTTGCTCCTGTCTCAAGCTTTCCACAGAGAAAAACTTTTGATTTTATTTTTTAAGTTCAGGAAATTGACTTCTTTTTAGATAGAAAATTCAGTTATGAGTTGAAGAATTCAACAATGAGGGACACATTTTCCCAGTGGTTTTAGAGCAGTTTTAATTCCTTAAGTGTTTATATCAATACATGGCTTACAACCACCATTTGTTGTTCTCCTTGCACTCCCCTTTTTCTTTGAAGGTAAGAATACCAACCAAGTAATGGAGAAATCAAATCTGAAAGCAATGTCTCAGGCTAAGGAACTCACTCAGCAAGAGACAATGGAAGGGTAAGCTCAAATTTAAATTAATTCCCCATCTTTCCTGTACCAATGGTCAATGTCTAATTTAGCTAATCCGGGCAAACCTTTACATTAAAATAACTTTAAAGATACGTCTCAGGCTTTCTGCCTGCCAGCAGATAGAGGTTCGGAATATATAGGGCAGTCCATCTGCCTAATACTTCAAATAAGATCTCAAAAGAATGCTGGTATCACAGAATGGCATCAAAATTGTTTTTCATTTGTTACTCAAGAAATACATAGCTTGCTAAATTGCTACTGACCCATGTTCCCCACATTTCTGCCCTTTGATTTTTGTGTTGATGATGCTCAGATTTTTGTTTACATTTCGTATTTGATATTCAAAGGTTGAATGGGCTGCCTTTGAGTCAGCTTCTTGTGAGTTACCTATAGAACAGTTCATCTTCTCACACTGGGAGGAGAAACAGAGTGCCTGACAGAAGTCAGGTCACAAATGCTTCCCTGCACGGTCCTTTTCTTGTTCCTTTCTTCTTAAAGAGATGACACCTCCCAACACACAAGGCCAGATAGCATGTCCAGTGCTTCAGAGTCCCACCATTTAGGATTCATTTTCACTTCAGTTTTGTTTTTATCTGCTTTTCTAATGTGCTGGTATACTTCAACTGGGGAAATTTTCTTTCAGGTGCACCCAATGGAAAGAAAGGCAAAGAAAAGGGCTTTCTTTCACCTCCCAGGAAAATTTGAAGGAAGATATGACAAGGCAGAAGAATGTATTTTTCTGATGGCAAAAAATGTTGTCATAGAAATTTTAATTGAAATTTTAATTGTTACCAGAACTTCAGTGGAGGTGCAAGGAAAGGTAGTTAGATAAAGCCTCAGGTTAATTTTCATCATTACCAAGCACTTTACACCACTGAAAACTTCCAAACATATAAAGACATGTCAATCTTGTTCTTTAGACAGAAAAAAAAAAAGAGGTGGGGGTGGGGTGGAGCACCTGCTTCAAAGGCTGTCAGTAGACATGTCAGTCATTAAAGATCTGATTTAGTTCTTAACTCCTTGAGGTAAAAGACAAATGTTGTGCAAGAGTAACCATTCCTGGCATGCATTAAATGAAACAACTTTAGAAAACTCTGATATATGTTAATACAGATAGAAGTGGAAAGTTATGAAAGGAGCTGAAAAACCACAATCAGATATTTGAATCACAACTATAAATGAGTAAGTAGAAATGTTTTTGTTATTGGTTGTGGGTGGAAGGATGTCCTTACTATCTTTAGTCATCTGAGCTTAATTAGCCAAGAGGGCATTATTGTGTGAGGTTTTGCAGCCAGTATCAGAATACATAGGTGCGATCCACAACTGTATAGCCTTAACTAGGTTAATGAACCTCTCTATACCTCAATGTCTTAATCTATGAAATGGGGATGATGGTCCCATCATCCTTGTAGCGTGAAGATTAAATTAACACAGATAAAACAATTGATATCTGCTGAGTTTTCACTTCACATTATCATCAATTCATATAGTGCAATGAATTTCAAGTTTTAGGAAACATATTTGGTATGATACAGATCTTGAGAAATATTGCCAATCTATAGATGATAAAGGCATTGACAAGGTACTGATGAAACACATCACTTTCTTTCAAGGAAGGTTGCAAGTTGCTTTGGCTCCTTGAACACTCCTGAAGTTCAGAGTACTTAACACCCTCCATAGCATCCTTTAAATATGATAATTTATCTTCTAAACTGTATGCAGTAAAGCCAGCAAAAAAGAGCCAGGTGGGCATAACAACATTGTATTATATGCAGCTACAAGGTTTACCAGTTCAGTCTTTTCTGCTGGCAATGAACACTAAAATGGAGTAAAAGGTAACTTATCCTCAACAGTTGCTTGAATGAGTTACTAGAGGAATGTCAAGTTTACAGATGAAGCAAAAGAAATCCATGGGAGTTAAAGGCTGTGACCATTTTATTTAGGATGTGCTGTAAAATCTAACTTAACGCATACAAGTTAGGTCTTTGGAGAGTTTTCCTAGGAGGTCTGCAAACAAATGTGAAAGTCTACAAAATATGTGCTTTTGAAATAACTGTAAAACGATGGCTTGAGATTCCATGAGCGGCATGTCATCATACCCATCAAATACTGGTAATTTGGTTGAAAAGAAAATGCCTTGTTGTTTGCATTTCTCTGTCCCTGGAAGATCCCCTGGCCACTTTTTGTATCTATCCTCAGCTAGACTGCTGACAGAGTATTCCATGGCATTCCTTTGTTCTGAAAGGGCACCCTTTAGTTTCACACTAGTCTCAACTTCACACAGCCAGGCAAGCCCACACACCTCTCCATCTGTTAAGGTTTTCCTGTGTTTGGTCCTCTTCTCAAACTCATTTTAAATATGAAAGAATCACCCTCTACCATTAGTGACAAATCCTTTTCTTTCCCTGTAATATTGAAGATGTGAATGGAATCCTCTAGTGACTGTCTGGGAAGAAGATATTCACCGGTAACTACATGATTCAAATAGATAAATTCAATTAGTCCTTCCTGGGAAGCCTCAGTTTACTTTACCACTCAATATTTTGAAGAGTTTTGAAGAAATTCTAATTACTGCGTAAGAAATAAGTCAAATTCCTCTTCTCTCACTGTGAAGGACTTTTATTATCCATCACTACAAAACATATATATAAATATATATATATATATATCTACATATTTGTTACTATCTGAGCAGAGTAGTCTGCATACCAATAGGATCACTAATATGCTACGAAGCAGAACATATTTATCAGTTAAGTTCTACGTGCAGTAACCTAACAAATGCCAGAGACAGCAAGATTGCCCTCTGCAGAGTAATACTTGTGTAGATGTCTTCTTTATGCTAACAATGACAGGGCTTCGTGCCTTGTACTGTACTCAAAAATCAGAGTGCATTTTTTTTCAGTACGAGATTCTGTATCAAAAAGAAAAAAAGCTGCACATTTTTGACACTGAGATATTTTATGTGGATAATAAATTTTTTCCCTTGAACTCCACTAACTACAAGTATCTACCTAGAAGATGAAATCTAAGATTTATGTCATCAGAACTATTTAGTATACCAGAGGATCATTTTTTCTTTTCAGGACTGTCAACTTTGTTTACTGTTTATGTTCAATTTTATACTATACAAGAGATTAAATAGTCTTGCCATAGCCACATGTCAAACCTCCTTAGAAAAATAAGGTAATAAATGTAAAATTATTTTAATAAGGAGTGATTTCAAAGACATATTACATTTATTGAAATCTGCATTGTAACTGGAATGTTATAATTGCATTTGTAATCAAAAAGAGATCTTTGAGTCGGTAATTTTATGGCATTTAGTATGTTTTAAAATTGAAACAACTAAGCAATGATTAAAATATTATTACAAGTAACTTTAAGGAAACACATACGAAGTAATGTGAGCCCAGGAACTGTCTTCACAAATCAGCATGTATATCATCAAATCTGTTAGCCTCTTACATGCATTTTTAATCCAAATGTAACCAGTTGGCTCTTGAAAACAGTTTTTAAAAATACTATCAAATAGTGGTATACAAACAGAAGCTTCTGTTTTTCAATCTTGCTACCTTAAACTTTTTAATAATGCAATTTCAACATCCAAACAATAATTGCATGTATAAAGACAGTGACTGAATCCTAACTAATTGTCATACTTTTGCATAGCATAGTAACAATTTACAAATTGTGAAGAGTAAATCTATTTGACAGGACTGTTAGCAATCAGGCCTTCAGCTTCTTGCTTTGTAGCAGAATGAAGTAAAATCTATCCTTTTCTTGCTGTTGTTAAAAACATTTCAAGGTAGTTTTTTTTTTTTCCACAGAAAATGCTGCAGGAAGGTTCCAGGTTAAAAAAACAACAAAATAACAATAACATGGTTGAATTTTACACTTGGCTATTACTGGCCAGGATACACGATAAGTTAAAACACACTGAGAAGTATTATTTTAAGGGAAAACTTGATAGAGGATTGTATTTCTAGATTAAAGAGTGGACCCTATCATTTTTCTGGCATTGTAAAACTGAAGCCTGCTGCAGGGAAAATAAACATTACAATACCCAACACTTAAACAATTGTATCTATACGGTTAAGTAACAAAAGCGTGAGGCACCTGGAATCCCAGCATTTGTGCCTTCTGCCAGCAACAATATAAAGCATTCAAGTGACATTTGATAATGAACAGACAGTGGAGACATTACACGCGTCTTTAGAAGAATCAGACTTCCTACCTTGAAAAGACAGATGGAGGTAAGTTCCTTTATAAAAAAGAAAAGTTGTGAGTAAAGCCAGGCAGCAGTTGCAGTAAATTGAGTCCTTTCAGTCACTGTATACATACAGCAGTTCTGCAATAAGGGGAAAAATGTCATGGGAGGAGCGGCTGTGAACGAGTGACCTCTTCAAGCTGAGTCCTCTCTGTGCACCAAGCACTGAACGCCGCTGCTCCTGATTTGCATGGATTATCTCCACTTGAACAGATACAGAGCAGATACATTTAAACTGAGCTGGCACAATGGCAAAAAGATGGAAGAGTGAATGAATGAGGGACAGCGCAAGAGAGGGAGAGAGAAAGAGAAACAGACACGAGATCGGAGAGCATGGCTAAGCTGGTTCTTGCAGAACTGTGTCTCAGAAGAGCTACAGCTCCCTCTTCATGTCACAGTTGTAAGATAAGAAGTGTTGTCATTAAGAACTGGTTAATCATACGGAAAAATATACCCAGATTAGCTGATGCTCTATCTGATCTGATTTTGGGGAATGTTTTATGACTCTTTGTGTTTCATAATCAGGATTGTAGATGGTATACAGACAGAAAATTAGTAGTAGTAGCCAGGTAAGCAAATTTGGATAAAACTCTGAGTTTTGAATTAGAGCAGAGCTTTGATTTGATTGGTGTATATATCAGTGAAGGAACCTAGAGAATTTGTTAAGTAGAATATTTATTTTGAAAGAAAAATAATCCTGGTAAACTTTTAGAGCTAGTGATACACACTGCAATGTAAAAAGAAAATAGTATTTGAATATTAATGACTGGTTATCTGAAAGGACCCAATGTACAAGTGAAAGGGAGCTTCTTTTGATCTCTTTAAGTTGTTAATTGTTTGGGATTTTTTTCTCCATATTGTCTTTCGCTGGTCTTTCAGATAAAAAGAAATCTTTCTTTACAATATAGGTGGATCTTCAAATATACAATTATTACTTGCTTTCCCATTTAGCATCCTCAGAGCTTTATATATTTGTATTCTCATTTTAAAAATGAGGAAGAAGAGAGAGGGGATATGATTTTAACTCTTGCCAACATTCACTCAATAAGGACGGGGCAGATCTCAGAAGAAAAGAATAACCCTCATTTAGCAAGTGAACATGAAGCCTGCCTTCTCTTTTGTGTAAAGGTGTCTGCAGATGCCCAAGCAGCCAGGCAATTAGGTCAATTCAAAGGAAAAATCAGTCAAACCAACTGGTTGACTGAATTGATCCTAGCCTTGGGGAAGCCATTATTAACTTGGTGTGAACCAAATGACATTGTTAAATATATTTCAACAAATGAGAATAAAACTCTCAACGTAAGCACGTGTGGGGTAGTAGTAAGGAGACCAGTTAGATTTGTGCTGCTGCTGGGAATCCACATCCTGTCAGAAAAGATAAAAGAGTTTAAACACACAATACTTAGAGGAACTCTGAGTTGATGGACAGAAGTGAGCCTTTAAAAGAAATCTTAAGGAAAATGCCAACACATATTTTCATGGGATTTAGTGAAGATCTGGAATTTCTGAAGTGTGCAGACTTAGTGACTGTAAGAGTGTTTAGGAAACAATTGCTTGAAAGTAAAAGAGTGAAGACAATATTTCTTTTTATGTCTCTGACATCCGGTAGTCTGATGGCTCTCTGAGTGCTCTCAGGTTTTTTATATCATTTTGGACACAGTTTGTATGTGGGTCGGGGTTGGAAAGTTATTGAGATCTTAATATTACTTCTCAGGTTGCAAAATCTTTGGAGTCAGGGACCATATAGCATCCTTTAAAATCTCCCTAAATATTTTGAAAGTGTTTACGTATTCTAGATATTTCATAGATGTTTGTTAAAAATGATGCTGGAAATAATGGCAAAGCACTTATCTTCTCTACACCGGTTGTTTAATGTAAAAATTGGACTCATAAATTATTATCTCTTCTGTACTCTCATGAATAAAAGGAAATAGAATGTCTTGTTCTATTTAGGACCACAATGAGTAATAGCATGCTAGATTGTATATTGACATGGAAACTTAATTAGGTACCTCCTTCCTTATTCCAGGGGATACATTCTAGAAGGTATGCTTAAGTTTTGAGTCATACTTTCTGGTGATGACTTGGACAATTATAAGCTTCGTGAGCATGGCAAATTATTTAACTTGTGTATAAAAGGTGGATAATAAAATGAACTTTATGGTTGTGTAAGGAATAAAGGAAAGGACTTAGCATAGCATCTGGGTATATACTTAATCAACGCAAGTTTTCGTTACAGTTATTGTAAATTTGTTTTCACTGAACTTGATTGTCTCTTTGAACTAGGGTGTGTTATTACAGTGTCTGCAGTGTCTGTAGAAAAAAAAATGACTTTTTTGGTTCTTGCCTTTTTCTGGCCATTGTATGAGAAGGGCTCTTTCTGAGTCCTTGACAACCAGAAGGACTGGTGCCTCTACCTTTTTATATAAGACAGAAATAGAAATACTATTCTCAGGAGAGCTACAGAGTGTTGTAGCAGAAGACAACCTTCTGTACAGGAATGGGAAATGGCTTGTGTGGTACATGTGAAGGGCACCCAGAAGCTCCCGGTCCAGAAATATCTTCCCATCTGTCCTCTCCTATTTCCTGAAATGCCACCATTAGGGGTTCATTTCTATGTTTTACTGGCTTCCCATTCTCTTTTTCAATGCACAAACTACTGACAGAATTAACACATTAACAAGTTTACACTTAGAGTAACACATGAATTCATAGTGGTTTTAATAACTCTATCAGAGATTCTTTCTACCAGTAACTAGCTGATGATCAGCAATACCAAGGAAAACCCAGATTTTAGTGATGGTGGAGAGAAGGCTCAGTTAGTATATGACAAATGGTGTGTAGGGATCAAGTCCTAACAAGGATGGTGCCATACTGGGCTTGTGTGCACTAGAATCTGCCAGTAGGCGTGGGATTCTGCAGGCACTCAGAGAGTAATGTGTAGCTGCTAGCCCTGGTTCACTTGGATGAGGAACAGAGATTCATTCATTCAACAAAATGCATTGAGTGCTTTGTTAGCAGGAAAGTAGGCCATGTGTATAGAAATAGATGGTTCTCACTCTCATTTCTAGTGAATGATGGCAACCGATATGCAAACAGATTGATTCTAATATTGAATATCTGTACAAAGGAAAACAGTACAGAGGAAAGAAAGCATGGAAGGCAAAGCACAGTTAGGGTAATTAAGAAGGCACTTGCAAAGAGGCAATGCTTGACTCCTGAAAGTGTGGAAGCTGTCTGGCACGTAAGGGATGAAGGAGAAATCTGCAGGGCATTCCAGGTTGGGTGGGCATTGGTACCGAGGCCGGGCAGCATGAGTGGAACATCCAGCTGGGACTATCAGCTGGGTATGCTCAAAACACAGAAGAGGAGCGTGAGTGGGAAATGGGGAGAGATGTGACTGGAGTGTTAGGCAACAACTGAGGGGCAGGTCACAGAAAGGAGACGCAGGACACAAGCATGATAGATCCTTTGGGCCTCTGGACCTCAGCTTGGGAATGTAAGTTCCTGCTTTGCGTCTGCACACTTTGCGCATATGTTCATCCAGGCTCCCTGGCCCTGGGGACACATTCATAGGACAATGTTTAAATGACAAGGAGCGCCATCCTGCTGAGAAAAGGGGGGCGTATATTGCCATTTAGATTAGAGAGTTAAGTCTTTAGGGAATCAAAATACTCCAGAATTGTGAGGGTCTGCCGTACCATTCCCTAACTGAAAGTGCTGAATGGCACATTTATATATGAATTAAAATTAATTGTGTTTGGAGACTTTGGGATATAGCAAATCAGGGTGGGAATCACTGCTGGAGCCCTGGAACTCATTTAGCATAACAAATACAGCACTTTGAAATCCTTAGTGAGACAGATTACCAGCATTAATGCCATTAATACTAATGATGGTTAATAATTGGAAAATTATATTTATAAAAACAATAATGATAACAGAGTCAAACCAGATAGGAGACCTCACAACTCTAATATAAAATGCTGTATTAGAATCTTCTGTTCTCTTCTGTTGCTTGAATCTTATTTTGACATATTAATCCAGAAAATATTGAAGCTTCTATATTTAACCTAAAAATGACAAATTGCTTCTTGTAAATATAACACTTACAGTAAAATTCACTGTAAGATAAATGATTGCATAGACATTGGACCCAGTAGTGGGAAATATATTTGAATTCTAATAAGGACTGGTTCAAGCTTAAAAACAATTAATAACTGTCAACTTCCCATAAACACGACAAGTAAAACTTTCAAAAAGGGCACCCAAACCACAAATGATTAAAACATCATGCTAATTAACAGAGTGACTACATGCATTAGGATTCTTTTAAATTATCTTTCTGATTGAAGAACTTCTTCACAACCTCGATGCCTCACCTCACCTGTGCATGCAGGTGGAAAGGGCCCATTTAAATTCAGCATTCACCTTTTTCCCAAATATTTTTAAACTACTTAAAGTTTTGTGGCAGTCAAGGAGGAGCTTCCCTTGGATCCCCCCTCAAGAAAAACCTTGTGGTTCTGCAGCAAGGAATGACTAGCTGACAGCCACCAGCTGTCAGCACCTTCACAATTCAGCTCCTCAGGTAGCCCTTCAACAATGTTGAAGCATAATGGAGCTCCTAAGGCCCATTGCTGACCAGTACAGGACTCCTCTGAGGCTTTCTCTGTGCCCTGCCTCTTCCATCATTTGAGTTTCATTGGCTTGGGTACCTGATAAAACTCTTAGACTCTTAATTTCTTTCAGTGTTTACTTCCCAGTAAACACAAGTTCCTGACAGTCAACAATATTTATTTGATGCAGAACCAGCTTTTTCTTCCTTCTTTCTTATGCCCTCCCTTCAATTTCCAAAGAACTGAGCTCTCTTCATATATCCCTAGGATATAGCTCCTATGTATCTACTCTCAGATATTGTTGAACTAATGAAAGATTCTTTGGAGAACTAAAGGTTCTCTAGGAATTACTCTCATGAAATTGTTTCTCAGATCTCTACTTTGTTTCCACACCTCTGATGTACTGAGAACAAAACATAGGCACACTAACAAACACATAATTGAATAGTCCAATAGACTTTTTAGACTAACTGCAATAGACAGACAAGCAACTCAAACAACATGGTCATGTACTTAGATCAATAAGACTCTGGAAGACATTCAGGTTCAGTGCTGAATTCACATTGAAGAGGGATTGAAAGGTGTATAAATATAAAGACAAAGGGCAAGCTGCCCCGAGATGTACCACTGTGACAAGCAGATTATTTTGAGCTGAAATTCATCAAGCCCAAAAGACTCAGAAACTGAGTTCCCATCCCCAACTGCATAA